CCAACCATGCCCCGGAGAGCTGGGCGCAGTGGGGGTTAAGGATGGTGCCCAGCCTACGTCCTGCCCTCCTCCTCCTCCTCCTCCTGCAGGTAAGATGCTTTTAAGTCCTATTCTCCTAGAAGGGCTCTTCTGCCTTCCTCCCCACCACCCCTCCGCGCCCTGCACCGCTTGCTTTCTCCGCAATGACTTTTCCATTTCTTTGAAGGAAGGGAAAAGCAAAAGGAGAAACCGCTACACAAAGGGCCCTCGGGAGGATTCCTCCAGTGGAAGCACCGGGGCTTGGCAAGAGCTGGCGATGCCCAAAAACTAGCGGGGAGGGGGCTGGAGTCAGTGAAAGGATCATTAAAGGGGGGGAGACTTGCAGCCAGGTCCTCCCGAGCACAGCTCAGCTCCCCGCCTCGCACCTCCCAGTGAAACCAGCTGCCACCAGTTTCCCTTAGGCTGCTGGGAGGGGGTGGCCGCTCTGGGGGTGTGATGGATGGGAACAACAAAAATGCAATGCCTAATGGTACCCCCCTTAATTGATTTTCTAAAGGAACCTCTCCTTTTCCCCCCAGCCGCAAAGCACAAGACTTTCCTCTCTAAATTGCTCGCTGTGGAACTGTAGCCACCGCTAATTTTGCAGCTCTGCACAAAATGCAAATGCGTTGTCAGAAGCAATATTCCTCCTCCCCGAGGGCTCATCGAGAAAGGAAATGTTCCCAGCCCAAAGCGTGTTTAAATCCCAAACCCTGGGGAAACGAGGACATGAAAACATTTCCAGTGAAATCCTGAACATTATTTGAATAAACCTATGTAGGCAGTTAAACAAAATGATCAGGTTTTTGATTAAACCTCTGTATCAAGAGGGTTAAAAGGAAAAAAATTGCCTGGCTCTCTGCAAAACGCTGTCTCAGTGGCCCAGTTGTGACTGCAGACTTAAAACGGCAGAAAAAGCGGAGGGTCAGCCCTCCCCGTTAGCACCATTGCGGTTCGTACCCCACGGGCTGGTTTCTCACCGTTCATCGCCAGCGGTAAGAGCAGGGAGGAGTATTTAGCTGCACCTTTGGGATAGGAAAGTTCTCACCTAAGCAATGAGAAGAGCTGATATGCACCAGGTGACCTCCTTGCCAAGTTGGTTTTGCTTTTAAAAGCTCCTCTGCTGAGCAGCCGCTTTCTCCTGTAACTGCACATCCCTAACCCTCTTGTATAGGAGCTCTTGCGGTTATATTCCCCAGTTCAGGTTTTGTTTGGTCCTGTAACTGCACATCCCTAACCCTCTTGCGGTTATTCCCCAGTTCAGGTTTTGTTTGGTTCCGATGTAAGAAATGAAGATGAGACAGGGCAGGATCTCTTCCCCCCAGCCCAGGTCCTCCTTGGCCAATATGTGGGGACACCGTTGGCAAAGCCGCAGACCTGGTGCAATAGGGGCAGGGTCTGAGATGGGCACAGCCAAGCGAGCATGACAGCTCCCGATAGCTGCTGTGTGAGCAAAAAGTGGTCAGAAAAAAAAGCCCAAAGGTGCTGAGACACAGCTCCCATCCTCTGCTAAACCTCCTCAGGCTTGGGAGTTTCCCTAGCCATCCCTAGGTTTTCCCCCAGGATGGTGAAGACAGGAGGCCAAATCCTCAAAAAGCTTCCAGAGTTTGAGAGCAAAACCACCCCTATGCTGGGGCTGGGACCAGGAGGGGGGTCACGAAAACCAGCCCAAGCAAAGAGAAGTCTCTCCCAGCCAGCTCCAAAAAGAAACACCCAATCTACAAAACACCCCTTTGCAGTCAAACTATCTATTTTTTCTTATAAATATATGCATTCAAAATTCAGACCCTTTTCCAGCACAATCCCAACCCTCTCCTGGGGACAGCATGGGCTAAAGGACCATGAAACTCCAGCCTTAAGTGAGTACGTCCCTGCAGCCAGGCGTACCCACAGCGGCGTCCAGCCTGCGAGAGCAGAGACCTGCAGCAGTCCAGCTGCAACGGAGAGCTCAGCAGGGACGAATCTCCCCTGCTTGCGCAAATTTTGCAGCCTGCAGATCGCTGGGCTGGCACAGCTAAGGTGTTCCTCATGCATCTGGCCGGCAGCTCCAGTTTAGCATCAATTTGTCCACCTTGCCTTGCTGAGTAGACATCCCTCAGGGGGTCGGACAGACAGACCAGGAGACAGGCAGCCAAACTTGCTGCAAAATGCTTTCTTGTACCTTGCAAGTCATTTACACAAACTAAACAAGTGGTTAAAAAGAAACAGTTCACCTGCAGCTTTGTCAGGAACTGATGACATTTCTGGGGCTGATAAAACTGTTTGCAAAAGCATTTTATGAAAAAACAGAGTTTGGTGCTGGGGGTGGGGTAGTTTCCCCTCTCCCTTGATCAGCTCCAGCAGCAATAAGCCCCAAAACCAGCCCCCTACCCCTTCGCTGCTCAAATCCTTCCATAAGACGCAGAGCTGCAGTAGCAGGACATGCTGACCCTGGGGATCTCTTCCAGTCCTCGCTTTCCTTAAAAGCCGGCGTTGATTCATGTGTTGTTTCAGTGTGTATGAAATCATCCCCGTGGTTTCGCATCTCCAGTGAAGAAGTGAATGGAAATGGCACAGCCTGTTCCCAGAATAGCTGCTCTATCGCCATAGGATGAATATATAGAAATACGATGAGCATAGCCTGCACAGCCGGCTGAACCCTGCCCTGAAATATAGCTCTGCTCACCAGAAATCCTGCACAGGGCTGGCCCAGAAGTTTGTTATGAACGACAAGCTCAAGCTGAGGTCCGAGTCTGCAGCATTTAGAGAGGCTGCATCTGTGGTTTTATCTGGGAGAGCAGTATTTGGACCCAAAGGAAAGCACAAATCATTAGCACGGGGTTCCCTCACCAAACAGAGCCCAGGAGCCTTTGTCCAAAGCTTGAGAGCTGTCACTCACGAGCGGGTGGCTCTTTCTGAAGATGGTTAACATACCCAGAGGCCCATCTGCTGTTTTTCCTTTTTTCCCTTACTGTATTTTGAGCTAATAGAAGAGACCCTCCTTCTCTGCAGGGTGTCCTGCTTTATCAGTGAGTCACCCACCCAGAAGCAATCGCCTCCATTCAGATGGCAGAGGGCAAAGGGTGTTGGTCTTTTGCAGATCATAGTCCCTCTTTCACCCTGAAATCCTGTACTATTCGCCCTGGAAAGGCAATGGCAGATGTAGCTTTGGTGTGGCCAAGCTTTCCCTAGCTGTGAATGCAGATAAACTGGAGGAAAATGATGGGTGAATTAAATGGTGGATGTTCAGCCCAGGGTATGACCCTAAAAAGGTGATGGGTGAAGGAAGAGGCTTAGGGCAGCCGAGATGCGGGTCTTGGGAGGCAGCTGGGGAAAACAAATCTCCCAGCCCAAAAGGAAAATATCTGTGAATGCACACAGGTCCCACATGTACAATCTGCAGGAGAGTTTCATACAACCACCTTAGAAAAACAGCCCTCCCGTGCACTTGTGTCCATCGCTCCAACTCTTCTTTAGCAGCCTTTGCTCTAGCAAATCCAGATGCCATAGGATGCTTTGATTCATGCAGTGTCCCCTTCCCCAGCTTGTTTGTGCCTTTAGCTTCCGCTATCCGAATGCCATTATTCTTTTTTCACCTGTCCCCAAAAATCCATGCCCCTTTTGATAGATAAATGAAGTCAGAATTATTTATGAGAGAGACCAGAGCTTAATCCAGGAAAACCTTTAATTGCTCATAAATCAGGTTTTACAGGGCATTCATTTAGCCCTGATTGATATTCTTTTGTTAGGGTCTGCATCCAGCACGCTCAGAGAGAGACTCCAAACAGAATAAATACTCACACCAAAGCCTCTGTCTGCACAGCGATGGGGACTGGCCCTCTAATATGGCTAAATTCATAACTTCACAGATTTTAATGCCAGATGGAGGCATTCTTGCTCCCTGCTCTTCCCCCCGAATAACATCAGCCACAGAAAATCCCCCTGTGGTTCTTGCTTGGAGCCTCGGTCTGCTGCCTGCGCTTTGCCTCGATGCTTTGACGCTAGCAGGGCTTCTGATGTGGATTTGTATGAAAGCAAGTGAAGGAGCACCGGGGTGCTTGTTAATAAAGTGGGGGTCTCGGAGAAACCTTGAACTCAGGGGGTGGGAAAGCAGGTGACCGTCAGGGCTAAGGCAAGGGGTTGGAAGGGGGGGGTTCATGGGCCAGATGCTCCCTGGGGGTTTCATTCATGGCTTGGACTGGGGATGGGACTTCTCCAAGTGAAAGCCCTCAAGGTGGAGGTGGTAAGAAGCTCACCAGCTGCAGAAGACGGTGCCTGGAAGTCAGAGGAGACAAGGGTAAAGAGATCCCCCACAGTGGAGTGAAGGCAGGGGACAGGGAGGGCTGGGCAGCGGGGGCTGGAGGCACCATGGCCACCTCCAAGCACATTTGAGGGGGCAGCTCTTTCTGTCAGGCTTTTCAAGGCCACCTCCAGCCTACGGCAAGACGTGCTGCTCCGCGCCCTCCCTTCCCGCGCCGCTGATGTTGCTCTGCCGTCCGAGGTTGGCATCCAGCTCCTTTAACTCTCACTGTATTTAACACCCAAAGTCTGGCACCTTTTCCTGCAGGCTTGGGGCCAAGAGCAGACTTGATCCCAGCCTGACACCCCGGGGAATCTCAGCAAAGGTTCAGGGCAGAGAGACTGTGCTCGGCCTTTCCCCTGCCCGTGTGTCCCAGGAGGTCTTTCTTCTTCCACACCAAGTGTCTCAGGGGGCAGCAAGCTCAGCCAAGCTGGGGAGCAGAACCAAGGGGTGAGAAAGGTCCCTAGAGCAAGGACCACTCCAGGGTGGCTGGTGTTGACCACCCCTCCAGGGGGCTCTCAGTGGCCATCACCATCCATCAGTCCCGCTGACCTCTCCAGCTTTGTGCAAAGCCACTGGCTCGCACTGCTTCATCCTGCTAATTGCTCCACTCTCCAATTACAGCCCCGTAGGCAGTGGAAAACCCAAGCCCCATCTTAGATTGCTAATTAGGCTACGAGCCATCTATCGCTGTTCTGAGCTGTCAGCCCTTCCTGTCACACAGATCCGATCTTGTTTGAGGCAATAAGATATCAAGGGGGGACAGCCTGTCTCTGGGTAGTACGGGACAGGGGGGTTGATGTTTGTCTCAGATGTGAATATATTAATTAATATCTGTGGATTGCTTTGGAGAGGAAAAGCACTGCAGGGGGACATTAATTCCTAATTGTTACTAATCGAATTTTGCTGCTAGGTCAGTGGCAGGTCAGAGGGATTGATGCTCCGTGTGTGTGTGTGTAATTTTGCTGCTCACACCCATACCAGCAGTGAGACCCCCCAGCCTCCTCGTGCCGAAGAGCTGACACCATCTCAGCCTGCTGCACCGCATCTGCTGGCCCAGGGGACCGGCCACCCCATGCCCCTTGTGGGCTCCAAAAAACCCATCGGATCATGGCATCGCATCAGGGCACGGCTGGTGGGTCCGGATAGGAGCAACCTGCCCCACGTGGTGCAGCACAACCTGAGTGACCTTAGGCGAGCGGTACTCGGTGCCTCAGTTTCCCTTCTGGGACAGCCTTGACTCGGTGGGTGGTGGGACACCGACTGCAGCTGGTGTTTGCCATGTGTGGCATGCAGTAAACACCAGAGAAGCATCAAGTTTTGGTGTCTGAGCCGTGCAGTGAGGACTGGTGGGGGCTGGCTGATCCTGCTGCGGGAAATGTGGGGGTGAGAGGACGGAGCGTGCTGCTCCGTGAGGTCCGAGGTTAACCCAGCGCCATCGACATCTGCTGCGATGCCTCCCCAAGTGTAAAACAGAGACGTTGGCAGAGCCTGGAAGGGAGCTGGGTGGATGCTGAGGCAACAGTGGAGACGTCGGTGGCTCCTTATGGAAGAGAAGCTGCTATCAGTGTGGGGCCTCATAGGGCCCGTGCAGCTCCCAGCAGAACCATCATCTCCGTGGGAACAACTCCCCAGGCTGACCGGGACCACTGTGCAAAGTGGCTGCTTCTAGAAAAGCAGATTGATTTTCTTTCCCCGTGCAGCTGAACGCTCAGCTGAAGCTCTCCAGGATTTTGGCAGCCTGAGAGAGGTCACAGAGCTGTTCTTCACCGCAGAGCACAATTTGCCATAGCCTATGTCAAAGCAGGGCCAGAAGGGCAGAGGGACACGGCCCCTCTCTGGCCTGAGCACGACCCACTGCCGTTTTGGGGCTGTTGAGGTATGTTTGGCTCCAGCCTGGCCAGGCCAGGACCTGCTGGGCACCATGTGGCATCTTACGGCAGCAATGCTCTGGCAGGCGAAGCTCTTCAAGGACGGAGCTTTGACCTAGTCTCTCTGCAAAGCCTGGGGAGGGGTTGAAGTAGCCCGCACAGGACAAAACATAGAAGAGAGCCCGAGTGTCAGGGTACCAGATCAGGATGCTTTTGGCTTGTGCAAATCCACCTGGAGCTGCCACCTTCCCCAGCTTATCCCCCTCGAGCTGGGGCTGACGGGAGTGGGAAAAAACCTCTGCCTCTGTTGAGAGCATTGGCCATATTGCAAGACTCAGAGCCTGGTAAAAAAGCTGTTAGGGTTTGTTGTGTTTTGGGGAACCTTTTTTTTTCCTGCTTTCTTCCTTCTGTAGTGGTTTCAGCTCATTTACAAAGCCTGCAAAGAGCCAGAGACTGCACTCCATCCATACCCCCCTCTAGCTGTAGCTTGGTCCATGTTGCTGCTGAGTGCCAAGACCTCTCCCTGTGTCTGGAAGGAGCACGGGCACTGCCAGGCTGGAGCAGGCTGCGATTAGGAGAAACACATCCAATTAACACTTGAGAGCCTGTTCAGGTAGGCAAACCAGCCCGGTCCCTTTTGGGAGGAACTCTTTTGTCCCAGCTGCCCATGCAAAGAGCCACCACATCTGGTGGGCACCAGCTGCGGGCATCAATGCAGAGGGGAGCTGACCCCGCAACACCCCGCTTACCCCATGTCTGGAGTTTGGGTGGTCTCAGCCTTTGGCAAAGAGACCCATGAGGTTCCCGGCTCCTGCAGGACCAGCACAAGGGGAGCCCCACACAGCACCCGCTCTCGGGGCAGGGTTTAGCTGCCGGATCCCCTGTGCCATCTGGAGCAGTCATAACAAGGAAGCTATTCTCAGCTCCATTTATACGTCTGCCTGACATCTCTTTTGCTGTCAAAACCAGCTTCCCAAAGCAGTAAATAGTTGTTTGGAAAAGAGCAAGTGGGTGCTGAGCTTGTCTCCGTGTCTGAATAAATCCTGCTAATGCTTTGGTAAGGCGCAGGGTGGGTGCGCCAGCAAGAGCAGCCTGTGTTTATATGGCTAAAGGACAAGAGGAGGACCATCTCCTCCCTACCCAGAGCAGTTTTGAAGGTAAATGGCACTTGGGAAGGGAGATCAGGAGCTAGGGACCAGCCTGGCCGGTGGGGAGGGCAGAGGTTGTTCATTGTGTTGGCTCAGCACAGGACGGTGTCCGAGCCCACCGCCCTGGGGAGCTGGGAGCTTGTGGGCAAGCAGAGGAGGCTGCAGCCTTTCCTGCCTCCAGGCTCAGGTTTGAGCTCAGGTTTTGGAGTTATGCCTCATCCACCGTTGGCATCCGTCCCCTGAGCAGAGGGGATCAGCCCATGTCACCCTCTCTGAGCTGGAGGGGAAAATGGGCAGCTGCTCTGGTAGAAATCTGTGTGTTTTGCAAAACAGCAGGTTCCCTCCTTCCCCCATCCGCCTCCCTGGTGAGCCTTGGGTCTAACACCCCAGCCCCCTGCCGTCTTCCTCTTGCAATTGCCTTCCTCGGTTTTAGTGTCCCCAAACTCCTGCAAAGACACCATAATTCAGAAGCAGCTTTTCCAAAATAGCTCCCCATGTAGACGGAGTTGATGGTTTTCACTTCCAGCGGAGCTGCAGAGCTGCCCGGGAGCTGCTTTGGAGAAGGGACAGGATAGATCCTGGTCAATGCTTTCCAATGCAATGGGAATGGCAGTGCTTGCAGACAAGCCCTTCTCCTGAAAAAAGGCTTTAGCCAGACCCGGTTGACTGTGGATCAAATCTCCTTAAGGACGTGTATTAACATCTTCCCACTGACAGCTTACAAGGCTGTGATTTTAATAGGGTATTGAAAATTCGTGTCAGGCTCATCATGTTTCCCTTGTCTGCTCTCAGGATGCAAAGATGCTAAAACTAAAAGCGTTGATTAAATTGCTAAATAGCAGAAGCTCCGTGGCCTGGCAGGGGCTGTGCAGGGCTGCAGTATGGTTTGCTGAGGGGGATATTTGGGGCAGGAGAGGATCGGTGGGTGGGAAACAAAGCAGAGAGCATCAGTCTCATGACCCCAGGCTGGATAAGCCCAGCTCCTCTGGGCTGGGAAACCTGTCCTGCAAATGGGTACATGTCCAGCTTTGGGGGTGGCATCCACCGAGACATGGACAAGCTCAGATCTGACCCACCTGCTGCCATGTCCAAGGAGGGATCGGGGGCTGGGGAAGCGGCATATTGCACGTATAACCCTGCCTGTGATCTGCTCTCTCCCCGTGCAGGCGTTTCTCCTCTGGGATAGCCCAGTTGCAGCCTCCATCCAAGAGCAGTACTGCGAGAGCCTGCCGCCTGTCACAAACCACACGGGTGAGTGCCCTGCGTCCCCAGCCCACCCTAGCCATCCCCAGGGGACTCCGGTGGCAGGGATGGCTGGAAGAGGGGGTTGAGGGGTATCTCTGGGCTGATCTGCAGCTGCCCGGCTCCTTTTCGGGGTGAGGTGGGATGTGCTGAGGCTGCGTTGCAGCCCCGTGCTGGCTGCTGCAGCAGCCTCTTTGCAGGGTGGCAGCTGAGGCAGGTAGAAGATGCAGAGCTCAGGAGAGTTAAAAATAGGGAAAATAAATGTCTGTTGAGCTGAGCTTGAGGCGGAGGTGAGCAAAGAGACATCTGCCCTGTCCCTGCACCCGCGCTGCCCATTCTCTGCCATGCCCAGGGACACCAGGACCTTCGTCCCCTATGTCCACCCCCCTGCCATCCCCCTGCCCAGGAGGGGAGGTTGTGACTTTCTGTGGAGACCACGTCACCAATGCAGTGTGGCCACCATGTGCTCAGGGCTCAGCCATCCTCCGTCCCCCAGTGCTCCTAGATGTGTGCCATTGAGCTCTCTGGGAGACCACCAGCCACAAGTTGCTTCTGGGGACGTGGCCATGGCCAGGGCTGGCTCAGCCGAGCTGGGTGAGACCAGCAGGGTCATGGGCAGCTCACTCCTACTCAGCACCCGTACATAGGTTTGCACCCAACCGGGTCAGGCCCAAGATGTGTTTGTGCCAAAACTGGCTTTTAGCCTATATTCAAGACGTGACTTGGATGTCACCTCAGCAGTGGCAGGTCTGGTTCAGTGACAGGTTTTGGGGGAGGAAAGGTGGCTGAGGGAGAGGAGAGGAGCTCACAGGGATGAAGAGAAAAGTCCTCCCCAGCTCAGGGACGATGCAGAGTTGGTTTTCCCATGATTGAATGAAGACCAGAGCAGGCACCAAGCAATTGCCTGGCTCGCCCTGGTCCCTGCTGCTCGGAGCAGCTCTCTCCATCAGGAGAGACAGATGGCCGTGGAGGCCCAGGGCTGACGGATGGCTGCCCGCCACCCGGCTCCCATTAACAGCAGCATTAAAAACTCCTTCTTAAAAAATTACAGCTTGGCACCGGCTGATTCAGTGCCTGGCCGAGCCCAGGCCACCGTGGCCCTGCAAGGAGCATCTCCAGAGCATCCCCAGCCCAAGAGATGGAGGCAGAAAGCCGAGGCAGAGCAAGGCTGCCAGTGGAAATGGAAATGCCTGTGGGTCTCTGGCCTGGGCACGGTGCAGATAAGAAACGTGATCATCACTCATGTGCTTTGCTCCCTGAAGATTTCATCCCTCTGCTTGGCAACGTGGTTGTCCTTGGCCATGTTAGGCTGTGATAAATGACATTTGTTTTTCTTCTTACTCACCTCCCCTGGTGCAACATGTGTCCAGCTCTGTGGGCTCTGACCCACAGAAGCACCAGCCAAGCACTGCAGGGCCCTCTTGCCACGCACGGGCCGGCGGGTGGCATGACCCAGGGCAGCAGGCAGGTCCCAGAGCCTCCTCGTGCCCAGCTCATGGACTTTCCCACCCACTGGAATCTCCTGAGCCCAGGGGAGAGGGCAGAGAGGGGAGAGAATTTCTGCCATGGCTTTGCTGATGGAGATGCCCTGCAATCGCCACCACCCTCAAGCAGTGGGTGCTGCTTTCTGCAAGGATTGGGCTTTGCTGAGTAGGGATTAGCAGGAATCCAAGCAGGATTTAGTGCACCTGAGTGCCCAACACCCTGGGACAGGGGAGCACAACATGTCAGGCTTCAGATTCGCAAAATCTCCAGCGCCTCCACGCATCCGACCTGTCACCCCCGAGTAACCCATCAATGTGGGATGGGGCTGGCGCATGTGAGAGCCGCTTCCAGCTTGAGGAGGGGGCTTAGAACAAGAGGTAGAAATGAAACTAGTAATTGTCTTATGTCTGCTGCTTGGTAAGTGGAGCTCAGCGCCAGCCCTCATCCTTGGGGTCCATTTAAGCCCTGCCTGATTCAGGCAGCGATTCCTAGGGAGGGATATTTACAAAACTGGAAACTTTGTTTCAAGGCTGTTTAACACGGAGAGTTGTTACGATGACGCTAATGAGAATTTCAGCAAGGCCCTGAGACTTAATTTGTTAATGTTTGCATAACCCTTGGGAAATGGCACATGCCGATAACACGAGCCCAGCGGTCCTCCAGCGCGCGGCTCAGCAGGGCATCAGTTGGATGCACAGAGGGGCCCTGCCTCATGCCCGTGTGCAGCATCCCTCCTCCCAAAAATAGCCCGCCGTGGGCTCTCCTCCTCTCTCGGGTCATCAGTCCCTTCATTATTTAATCTCACACTTTTTAATGAGGATGCATGGCTGGACAGTGATACCACCAGGGTGCCAGCACTCTCCGAGGCGCATGCACTGAGCTGGAAAGGTCTCTGCTCACAGGAGCGTGGTGGAGACAGATCCGGGGTGATGCTCACCAGGCTCATGGGGTGCAGGCATTACAAGCAAACCCTCGTCCCAGGAAGCGGAGGAGCTGAGCCCCACAGAGCTCCCTTGTCCTGCCCTCTTATCAGCACTGATTTACCCGTCTTCCTCTAAGCACACTGTCCCCAGCGCAGGGCGATATCCCTTGGCATTCAGGCTCCCTGCACAGGTGTGATGGTTCAACCTGATATTTTAGGTATGCGTCAAAAATACCTCTCAGTGAGCCCCTGATTCTGGTCAGTGCTGGGCCACATGGGCATCCACACACAATTGGCCACTCCATCAGAAAGGCTGCTTTCCTCCGTAGCAGTGAATATTTTCTCCTCCAGACAGAAATCATATCAGGCTGGACTTGAGGTCAACGTGGTGCATTAGGAAAGTCGGGTCAGCTACACCCCCCAACCATCTGGAAAGCAAGAAATTCCCAGATTAGGCTTGAAAAGGAATGCAGTGAGGGTCAGCATCCCTTGCCCAGGGTGAATAGGTGCCTGTCCCAAGGGCTCCCAGCCTACAGATTGCCTCAGACCGTGAATTTGTCTTCCTGATGATTTCAGCTCCCCGGGGTCTGTGCGCAGCTGCTTCTCGCCTCGCCCTGCCACGAAGCCCGTCAGCGAGGGGCAAGGTCATTTCACCCCTCGGGGCAAAGCATCCCCCTGCAGCTGCAGGACCGCTTCCCATCGTGGCACTTCCCTGGGGAAGGAAGGAGGATCTGAGCAGATGGGAAAGCCTCTTCCTAATTAATAGATGAGGCTTTTCCAAAGCAGCCCAGCAGAAAGCACTCGAGCGGAGCGAGCTCAGAGCGCTCACGGGGTTGTTTTGCTGTTCGTAGCATTCAAGCTTGGATCAGCCCAAGGAGTTGGCACCCAATTGCTCATAGCCCCGGCTGGTCCTGGCTGCACGATTCACTCCTTTAAGCTGTTAAACTGTTAGCACAATGAATTGTTATCCTCGATCCCGTGTGTGGGCTCAGGAGAGAGAGGGGAGCACAGCTGATTCCTTCCCAGGGAAGAAGTGTTTTCTGCCACTGCAAGTTCACCTAAAGCAAAGGAAAATGACACCAAAGTTAGGCAGAACTGAATAGAAATGTCTTTTTTTTTTTTACCGGACTTTTTTCAAGGAGGGGAAGGGAGCGTAGCTTTGCATTTAAATAAAGCGAATCAAGTTAGTCCAGATATAGCAGAAGCCTGTGGCTGAGAAGCACAGGAGAGCAGCGAGCGATGAGAGCATTTCCTTCGTGGGCACTTTATCAGACAGGTTTGGAAACACGTTTCACAGCGGGTGATATTTTGACCAAGAGACTTTCCACCCCCTCCAGCTCAGCTCCCCAAACGGCTGACGCTGCTCCAGCAGTCCCTTCTCGTGCCGCTGCTGTTTCATTCACTCACTGACTCCCCTGGGAGAGATTGGAATTTAAATTCGTAAAGGTCAAATTAACAACATCAGCACCTCTTTTCCCTTCAGCCTCATTGGCATCTCTCCCACCAAGGCAGAAATACTAATAAAGGAGCTGAGCAGGGGCTAAAGAGGCAGCAATGAGTCCTGGCAGGGACTTAGCACCGAGGGAGAGCAGTGATGCTGCAGCAGGTTTGGGAACCAAAAAATGTGAACTCACCTATATGGAAAATCATAGTGGTTTAAGTGTATACTCGTATCGATAAAGCCATTCTGCTCCATCATCTAGGAAACAGGGATGTCAATAGAAACTTGCTCATATTCATAGATTTTATTGTAGTGGAGGAGGGAAGGAGGTGGTGAGGTTTTCTGGTAGGAAACAGTGTCCTGGCACATCTCAGCGTGAGCGGCAGCTACAGCAGTTAAACTGTACTTTGGACTGGATGCAGTAAAATCATTGCCAGCTACTCTGTTCAGCTGTAGCCAAACTAGAAGTCTTTGCTAGGAAAACTCTGCCAGCGAGGGATTATGCTTCCTTGCTCACCCACCAGCAAAGCCCAGCCAAAACCAGGGAATAAAGCACTTGCTGCTACCCTTGGTAATAACGCAACTCCAACCACTCTATGGGTCATACCAGGAGACTAAGATATGTCCCAGACCCAACCCAGTACATTATATATTCAATAAATATATATCCTCCACAGAAGCTGTACATGGATCAGTCTTAAGTGACGACATTGAGCAGATGCATCAAATACCGATGGCAGAAGCTAGGTTTGATGCCTGCTGTTTATTCTTGTCTAGAATAGCCACAAAGACCCAAGGGGACAGTTAAAGATGGTGAATAGCAACGAGCTGAAAATTCATTACAGACACTTTGCTATCATAATGCTTAATTAGCCTGTGTAATTATTTTACATTGAGGAACATGGAACTTGAATGCTTGGGAGGATTGCTGGGGATTTTTTAAGGACTGGACTCTTACAAGGATAAACAGAAACACCCAATACCACCGAAAGCAGTGCTGGAGGTACGGCGTGAGCAAGGATCTAAGTATTTTGAGACAACCACAGTTGCTCCCAGCCATATTGAGTACCCAATGACTCAGAGGGAAGGCAAGCAGCTCCATCACCCCAATTTCAACCCCATGTTAACATAAATTGTCCCCCAGTGCCATTTCTCTCAATGCCTCAAGGTGTTACTCAAGCATTTAGCACCTGAGTGGCTCCGCGGCTGGGATTAAGCCACCCCTCCTTGGCACATCACTACCTTGAAATAACAGCATCCCCCCAAAGGTCCTTGCTTTGGGGCAATAAGGTGTGAAATGGCTCCTTCCGCTCCGCCAGTGTGGTGGAGCTGCCCGGTAGGGACAAACAACCTTCTGTGCGCTGACTTGAGTATATTTTGATTAGATGTGGAGCTGAAGCCCTGATTACAAAATGCAAATGCTGCAGCGCGGCACCCTTAAGGAGCCAGAGGCTTCAGCCTGCTCAAGAGGCAGCAGCAGCAACGCAGTCACCGAGGACATCAGGGATGGACAGAGATAATTGTGGTTGAGTAAGAGCTCAGGACAGGTAGAGATATGACCCTTCAGCTGTTACTCAGCCTCCTGAGACACCTTAGGTAAATAACCCCATCACTCCCAACCATGGGAATGAGCCTGCGATTCAGATTTCCATCATCTCTCCTGGCCCCTTTGCATTGCACAAGGGGAGAAAGGCTTCACCCTTCGAGCAGCCGTAGCATCGCTGGGGGCCCAGCAGCAAGCTAGGATGCTGCGCTGGTGCATAGCTTTGCCCAGTGTGAGATGAGGACATGTTTACCAGCACGGTTATATCAGCACAACCTTTGCTTTAGTCCTCTTCATGCCATCCTAGCAATGGTTTGATGGTACAATAACACTTCAGACTTCCTGGCATCAGCTCAAGAGCACCGTGGCCACACGTCTGGTGGCGCTGGCCCAGGATAAACATGCTCCATCCTCTTTAAATTTGCTCAAAATCTTTTGGCAGATCAGCTGGAACTGGAGAGCTTTACCCCGCCAAGCTTCACATGGCTGCGTGGCTTTAGCTTGGAGCCATCTCAGGGGCCTCTGCGAGTGCTGGAAGCAGGCTGGAGAAGGATGTTTTATATAAACAGCAGCGATATTGCTATAGCTATCCTGAGACAGTTATTGTGATATAGTTGTCTCAGTGTAAGTCCCTGGAGAGGCACTTTTTTCCTTCAGAAGAAAGGAAATGCTTGGTATTGCTTCAAAGCAGCACAACCCGAAGGAAATAGGGTGAGAAGGGATTTGAGTGACTCCCCCCGAGCCACATTCCCCATCTCAAAGCAGGACCAGCTCCTTCCTATCCCAAATGCCGTTCTTCTTTGTGGGAGAGAGATTCAATCCCAGTCAGGGGGATTGGGTGCAGGTAGGAAATTCATTGACCTTTCCTGCTGTAAAGACCGAAACCATCTGTGCAGCCAATGATGAGAGAGCAGTGAGAAAGCTGGAGCAGACATCTGCAGAACCTGGGAGAATAATCCTCCTGCAAATAAGGATGGGCCGCAAAGCAGATATGAAAGCATTTAGCACTGATACATATCATTTCCATGCTAAACAGCATTCTAAATGCTGGGAGCCGCGTGCCACTGGGGAGCAGCTGGAGCAGAGGGTCATGCTGGGCAAACAGGACATCGCAGCCCTCATGGCACTCTTCGTCTTCACTGTTTTACTTAACCCTTCCCCAGCAGGAGATTTTTTTTCTCTTCCCTATATGCTGGAGAGAGCAGAAAGAGCAGCATCTCCTTTCTGCAGCTTTTCTTCATCGAGCATTTCTCAGTGTGCGCCTGGGAAAAATATTACAGCCACCCACTAGATTAAAATCTGGTGGGACAGACCTCAAAATGCTGCCTACAGCGGTGCTGGGGCGAAGCCTGCTGTGCACAGGGTGAAGTCCCAGGAGCCTCCTGCAGCCTGGCTGAGCCTGACCTCTGCTCACCCGACTGCAGCCCCCAAGCCCAAACACCATCTCACACCACAACCCTGACCCATGGGACGAGGAGGGGGCTGAGCTCCTGGTGATGCTGCTCCACCTTCACCCCGCATCCCTGCCGCGGTGGGACTGCAAGACCCATCCACTCGGTTTGTCATCTGGTGGGTGTCCATAGCACTTTAATGGGAGTGCCAAGCAGCATTAAATCAAATACCTTGGAGAAATGTGGAGATATTAAATCCAGACTTGAGCAGACGTATAACAGAACGGTGCCACCTTTGTCTGACCACATCATTTCCATGAATCTATCTTGGTTTTGGTTACTAATGGCATTGCTGTGGTTTTGTTTTAACTGATGGAGAGTACCGTTGCTGCCGTTCTCTGGCTTTGCTGACTTTTAATTACTGAGTCTTCCTGCTTGCCCTCTCTGAGCAGTCTGCGTCTGTGCCCCAGCACAGCCCCTGGGATGCAGGAGGGAAACTGAGGCATAAGGAGATGAGGAGAAAATGGAATTTGTGCTCAGCCCCACCGGTCACAGGGAGGGTTTTCGATGACTGCATGACCTGCTCTGGACATCAGCACTGTGCAAGCCCCATTTTTCTGTGCTGGGTTATTCCAAGTGAAGCTTTTCCTATTCCAGATATTCAGGCAGCTTCTCATCTGGGTGGATTCCCAGGTAGCAAACAGGGAGAGCACTTGCAATTTAACTTTGTTCTTAGTTGAAGCAATTACCTGTTGTCTTTTCTCTACCTGGATGAATATTATAATAAAATTTTAAACAGGGACTTCATTTTCTGTGACCCTCTATTTCTCTGTCAAATTTGGGTCAAAACAACTAAGGAGCTCAGCAGATGCTAATGGATGCAGATAAGCACAAACATGCACACTACACGTGATTAAATGCACCTTGTTTCCTAAGAAATACAGGCTTAAAAGAGTTAACTTAAAGTGAAGGTTGCCGCAGCAACCATACACATTAGCAAAGCTTAAAGCAAAGGTCATCGTTAAAATTAATTTCTCACTACAAGCTATGGAAGGCAGAAGGTAATGCTCACCACACTCTGATGCTTCCCCAGCTCACACGCTTGGAAGTTGTTTTCCCTTGCGAAGATGTTTGAAGAAAACCCTCCTTTTCTTTGCACTGAAAATTTGCTCTGAGAACATCCCAAGAAACCACGCAGCCAATTTTTCAGATAATCAATGAAAACAAATATTCCCCCATGAAAACCTTCATCATATTAATAACACAGTATTTTACTTTTTTTTGTTCGGTCACTCTTTAGCCGAGTCTATCCATAGGAAGTTTCAGGAGATATTCAAATAACAACTATCCAGTCCGGGTGGAGAGGAAACGCTGTGTTCTCGCACCCAGAGAGCTGTGAATTGGGGTGTTTTGTCTTAGGAAATGGCAATGCCTGTCTCTGCACCGGCAGCACAAACATCTCTGGTACCCAGGAGTGGTTTGCACTGAACTCTGCCCCTTCCAGGGTCTGCTGCCCATCCACCTGCTGCCTGTCGAGGATTGTATTAAATGGATATTACAGCGTTGTGCTTCCTACCTCACTTTGAGATGTAGCTAGGACATATTTAGCTACCGTACATGTTGTTCTAAATATACACAAATTATACATAAAAAAGCCTGCAATCTGGCCTACCTAATGCCTACGTTAGCACGCTTGTGTAGCTGGGAAAAGCACACAAGTCCTGTTTGAAATCTGAAATAGCAGCAGCAGTCTTGGAGTGTTCTTCCCGGGAAAGGCAGGAAGAGACCAACGGGAACGGCTAGGAAGGAGATCTTGCAGCCAAGAGGCGTGAGACTGTTGGAGGGGCTCTGAGCGTCCCACCAGCACCAGGCTGGAGTCACCACTGGGAAAGAGAAAATTTGGCTTATTGCTGACTGTTGTGGGGCTGGATGCCAAAGACATGGTTGAAGAAAGGAGCAGGGCTGGAAGACCAGAGCCAGGGAACCCCAAGGTGACTTGGGAAGCCAGGTCAGAAAACCAGGCTTGTGCCAGAACTGGGCTTAACCTAGGTGCTCAGACAGGACCAGGGCAATAGTCATGGCCAGGATGGATCAACCAACCCTTGGGGACTCTTGGCACAGACCCCATTTAATGTCTGCCATGAGGCTCTTCTGGGGACTGAGCCTGCAGCGACCCATCAGCTCAGCGAGGACTGCAGCCCCAGGTCTCTGGGCAAACCTTGACCCTTCAACAGCCTGGAGGTGGCCCACGGTGGCCCACAGACCTCCACTAACCCTTTACCCTTTTTCCTTGCAGGTCCCCAGTGCAACGCCTCAGTAGACCTGATCGGCACGTGCTGGCCCCGGAGTGCAGTGGGACAGCTGGTAGCTCGCCCCTGCCCTGAATATTTCTATGGCGTGCGGTACAACACCACGAGTAAGATGAGCAGCACTGGTGGGGACATGGATGAGGGATGGGGGAGTTCAGAGAGCCACGTGGGGCTGTAGGGGCACGAGTGACAATACATCTCCGGGTACAGAGCTCGTTGGGGGGCCCTGTGGGATCTGTCAACCAAAAAAGAAAAAAGCCCAAATTTCAGGGAGGGTGGTTTTGCAGCAGCAGCTTTATAAGCAGGTCCTCCTGGATGTGCCCCTGTGAAGGGGGAGAGGGCTGATGTCCCCATCTTGGGGACAGGGGAAGAGGAGTGAGCCTGTTGGAGGTGGCACAGAGGTCTGCAACTACCAGCTGAGCAAGGACTGGGGGACCTTGCGCTCATCCCCTCCCGGCACGGGTGACTGCACTGTCACTGCCAATGACATGCTGGGAGCAGGAGACGAAGCGAAGGCACTTGAAAAGTGCCCAAAGCCATTCCTACCACACAGTTGAGTTTCTGACCACCCAAGTGCTGCTTTTGATGAAAGAAACATCTTGCTTTCCACAGAAAACATCCATTTTTTCCATCCCACATGTTTTTGCAGCAGTGGAAGATTGCATGCATACAGCTCCTGCTTTGTGGTGCCTCTCATGCCGTTGCAGGAGTCTCTTTGCATTAATCCATACTTGTGCCTGTCTAAAAGCCATTCCCATCCCATCGCCTTGATGAGGCTCACGGTCTCTCCTGTTAATGGCAGAAGCCCAGCATCGCCCCAGTGCTGGCATCACCCCGCTGCTGATGCTAATCAGAGACTGCTCCGAGGCTGTCGTGGCTGTTCCTTCGCAATTAGCCTTCCCGCTCGCTGTCCTTGTTGGGAGGCGAAAAAAGCTCCTAATGCAGGGAGAGAAGTGAAAACTTCACACCGCCGTTGCAGCAGCGCTCGCAGGATGGCATGTGATCGCTCGAGCAAACGGCGCAGCGGAGGGAAAAGAAGAGTCGAACTCGTGCTGCTCCCACTGCATTTGGGTGGTGGGAGGTGTCGGGGTCCCCCAGTGCCGAGGGGCAGAGCTGGTGCAGACCCAAAGCCCTTAAGCGGGTCTGAAATGTTCCAAGGGTTTTGGTTCTGCAATTGCAACCAAGGCAGCATCTGAGCTGGCTTCAAAGCAAAAAGATGCCACCGGCTTGATGCCAGTGACCCCCGCATTAGTGTCATCAGGTCACATCTTTGTGCCCATCCCCACGCACCGTTAACCCTTCGACGTGCACCCTCTCTTTCAGATAATGGCTACAGGGAGTGCCTCGCTAACGGGAGCTGGGCAGCGCGGGTCAACTATTCCCAGTGCCAGGAGATCCTCAGCGAAGAGGTAGGACCTCGGTAGCCCCTCGGCTGGGCTCTTGGCAGGAGGGTGAGGGACAGAAAATGGAGTTTTGAAGGGCAACAGCATCCAGATCAGGAATGGCCCAAGGGAGCTGTGGGGACGTGGAGCAGCATCCCAGATATAAGGTTGCATGCAGCATATATGAGCCCCTTCTTGATTTGCATTTTCATTCCCTGCCAAAAATAAAGCCATGCCTGTTTCCTTCCCTGTTAAAAATCCAAGCAGATTTGCAGTGTGAGGTCTCCTGGCCCCATGGCCATGGCCACTGGGTGCAGATCAGTATGCCCTCCAGCCTATCGCCCTCCCCCAGCTCCCTCCTGACACAAGCGCTCAGTGCAAACCCCGTCCCTCCCCGCTGGCAATGAAATAAAGGAGATGTTTAGGAAGCTGAAAGAGATAAAAAAATGGGGACCAAGAATCACAAGCCCCTGAGTAGGTCAAGCCACCCCTCCGAGCAGAGGAGAAGAGATATGGGCTGTTCATTTGCAGTTAATACCACCTCTGGTATTTAAGATGCTGATGTCTCTTGCCAGGAATGGTTTTCTCACTCAGTTAATTGCTAATTCACAGGTTGGATGCATGCCTAACAGCAGGAGCAATCAATTAATTTAATTATCACTCACACCTTCCTGAGATCCCCTGCTCCCTCTGCCCAAATTCATCCCAGCCTCTCAGCTGCCCCCAGGGCAACAGGGAATGAACTGAGACATCAGATGGCACGTTGCCCACGAGCTCGGCTGAATTACAGCAGGATTTCCCCAGACGATGGGTTGGGGATGTCCCAGGGCTGAGCAGGGGTGATGTAGGGGCAGCTACCTGGCATGGGTGGGTGTGAAAAGCCTGAGCCCTTTGCAGGGCCAGGTTGGTGCTCTCCTGTCCACGTTAGCCCCATCCCACCAGCCGCGTCCCCCTCCAGCCCCATCATCTCCACCGTCCTGCACCGGCTGGGCTCCAGTTGCTTTCTGAAAAAGGGCCCAAAATTTGCGGTGCAGCTCTCAGAGGTGATGTGGTGGAGGAGGTGGGTTTGCGGTGGGACCTGGGGTTGCTGCTGACCCCCTCCCCATCTCCCCCCACCAGAAGAAGAGCAAGCTGCACTACCACATTGCTGTCATCATCAACTACCTGGGGCACTGCGTCTCGCTGGGGGCCCTCCTGTTGCTTTCTGAAAAAGGGCCCAAAATTTGCGGTGCAGCTCTCAGAGGTGATGTGGTGGAGGAGGTGGGTTTGCGGTGGGACCTGGGGTTGCTGCTGACCCCCTCCCCATCTCCCCCCACCAGAAGAAGAGCAAGCTGCACTACCACATTGCTGTCATCATCAACTACCTGGGGCACTGCGTCTCGCTGGGGGCCCTCCTCGTGGCCTTCGTCCTCTTCATGCGCCTGCGGTGAGTGACCTGACCCGCTGCTGTGCTCCTGCTGGGGGGACGAGCCCGGGGAGGTCACCCCACGGCCCTTGGGCTGGGGACGTACCCGGCCCCTGTGTTTTGCCATATCCTCCCCCATGGCCATTGCTTTCCAGTCTGGAGGGATCATGCCTATCTCAGGGTTATTTTCCTCCTGCTGCTTTTTTAAAGCACTGGGTTATGGAGGCAGAGGGTCCTCCGTGGTGCCTTCCACCTCCTGGCCTTGGTTCTGTCCACCTCACCTAGGGCATGGCCCCAGCAGGTCACCCTCGGGGGCCCAGCAAAGACATTCAGCTCCACAAACAGCCCTCTCACAGTGTGGCCAGCCCCCAGACACCCACCATGCTGATGGTCCCTTGTCCCCTCTTCCTCAGGAGCATCCGGTGCCTGAGGAACATCATCCACTGGAACCTGATCACAGCCTTCATCCTACGCAATGCCACGTGGTTCGTGGTGCAGCTCACGATGAACCCCGAGGTGCACGAGAGCAATGTGGTAGGTGCAGCTCTGCCAGGCACCTGGCCTGAGCCTGGTCCTGAGCGGCTGGGGTGTGTGGGGAGCTTGAGGATCCTAGATATGAGGCCACTAAAGCAACTTGAGGGCCCAAATAGGGCTGCGTGGTGGTTGGTAGACAACCCAGGCTTATGAGAAATGTGGGTTCAGTTGCTCTGCTGGGGTCTGTGTTGCTCTGTGCACCAGTTTCACCACTGTAACACAGAGCTCTGCTCTTCACCCTCCATGTCTCCTCCTAACGTCCTTGGCAGGTCTGGTGCCGCTTGGTCACTGCCGCCTACAACTACTTCCACGTCACCAACTTTTTCTGGATGTTCGGCGAGGGCTGCTACCTGCACACGGCCATCGTGCTCACCTACTCCACAGACAAGCTCCGCAAGTGGATGTTCATCTGCATCGGCTGGTGTAAGTACCGGGATTTCCCCTTCACCCATCGGGTACCCAGGGTTTTAGTGGGGTGATGCCCACCTCCATCCTCTGCTCCAGCTCTTCTTGTACCCAAATACCTGCAAAAAGGCTGCCAGGAGCAGGGGAACGGGATTTGCATGGCCATATCATCTCACCCTGCGGTTTGCCCTGTGTGAGAAAAATCCCTGTTACAGCGTAATTTTGTGGCAGCTTTGCATCCCTGAGACCCATCTGTCTGTTCATCTGCAGGTATCCCCTTTCCCATCATCGTCGCCTGGGCCATTGGGAAGCTGTACTACGACAACGAAAAGTGAGCCCCCATTCTCCTTCCTATCCCAATACCCCAGAGATCAGTTGTGCCAGGGGCTGTGGCAGGCACGGATCCCGCCTGGAAGGGCTGACACGAGGCAGGGTACATGGAAAGGGAGGAGGACAAAAAGATAATATTCTTCCGTTCTTTCTTTTATCCCACCTTGAGGCTTTCTGCCGCAGGAGCCCTGCCTGCAGCCGCCTGCTGCTGCATTTTTCTCTTCAAAGGGCAAATGAGATTTTTTTTTTTAAGGGGGAAAAAGGCAAGATTAAGGCAGAGCTCCTACAATGTGTTTGCTAAATGGAGCTGGGATTTAATCTACCAGCAGAGATATAAGCTACCACCACCTGAGCCATTTTCACAGAGACTTGCTAATCGAGGACTTAACAGGCACCGAAGAGTTCATCACGCGGACTGGGAAGTTAAAAGGAGCCCGTTTAGATGAATGGCAGCTTGTCTTGTTTTTTGGTGCTCGTTTTGCCCCCCTGACTTCAGCAGCCCTGTGCTACACATGCAGACACAGCACTGATTTAAGAAAACCCAACAAGGTGCTCCCAGGACACGCATACACCTGTGTGAGCTCCTGCAGGGTTTGCTGGGGACAGAGCCAACCCGGACCTGTGTGCGTGTAAGGTTGTCCCTGCTCGTCCTACAATAACCAGTTCCCACAGGGCCCATAAACACCCTCACAAGCTCCCATGCACCTCCGTATACTGGGTTCCCTGTGAAGCTATTCTATAGTAGCTACAGCAGTTTAAGTTGTAGTGCTTTCACCCCATGGACAGTGACTTACAGAGATTGTGCAAGGACAGGAGTAAATCCAGGTCACTCACACTGCGGGCTTGTCCCCGACACCAGATGTTCTGAAAGGAGGTTGTAGCGAGGTGGGGGTCGGTCTCTTCTCCCAAGTAACCAGCGATAGGACGAGAGGAAATGGCCTCAAGTTGCGCCAGGGGAGGTTTAGACTGGACATTAGGAAAAACTTCTTCCCTGAAAGAGTGGTCAGGCCTTGGAACAGGCTGCCCAGGGAAGTGGTGGAGTCCCCATCCCTGGAAGTATTTAAAAGACGTGTAGATGAGGCGCTTGGGGACATGGTTTAGTGGGCATGGGGGTGTTGGGTTGACGGTTGGACTCGATGCTCTTAGAGGTCTTTTCCAACCTTAATGATTCTATGATGCTATGTCCCTGACACCATTTGTCCTTGCCTTGCAGGTGCTGGTTTGGGAAGCGAGCGGGAGTTTATACCGACTACATTTACCAAGGCCCCATGATCTTGGTGCTTCTGGTAAGAGCAAAGCTTGCTAAATACAGAGTCCTTCTCGTCTGCACGTGGGTGAACAGGGTCTCACCCCCTCCTTCAGCATCGCCCCGCTGCAGCTGGCATGCTGCCCCGCAGCAGCAATGCCGCTCGCCCTGCAAGCCCAGCTCCCTGCACCCAAACTGCACCTTGAGCAAATTTGGGCACCTAACCCACAATGAGAAATAGCATGCATGGATCCGGCTGGCTTGGGATGGGCTAGAAAGGGAGCCTGGAGACCTCACTCCGATAGGGATGCTCCCATCGGCAGACTCTCACATGCATCAGTAAGTCCCTCCATCCCTGCCCTGACACTATTTGGGTGCAGGTGGGTGCTGTGCCAAGCATTCGCAGCAGCCTGGGGACCTCAACCCCATTCCCTGATTCCATATCGCTTCGCTCCTGGCCCTTGGCTGAGCAGTGATGCTTGAACGAGGGTTCACATGGACCATAATTTGCTGGGACTTTGTCCTTTTGGGAAGGGACAAAGCGGGGAAGAGGTGGCAAGTCACAAGCAGCAGTTCCAGGGTCCAACCTGTGTTTGTAGGGGGAAAACTGTGCACAAGGTCCCACAGCTTTTCCTTCCTCCTTGCCCAACGCTGAGAAAACCCGGCACCAAGCGGCCTCGCTGAATAATTGAGCCTGCTTCTTATTTCCCAGCCCGTCAGGTTGCCAGGCCACTTGTAATTTGTGTCAGTTGTGCTCAGCTCCCAGTGCTGCCTTCCCGTGCCCCCATTAGCCATTCAGCAGCCGGGAGAGCGGCCAAGCAGCTCCTTACTGTGATGGCAGCCACTCTCCCAAAATCCCTTCGGACACCTTACATTCCTCCTCCCCCTCGAACTTCTTCACCTTCAGCCCTTTCTCTAATGCTTGCCCTTCCTCGCCAATTCCTTGCCCTTCCTGCACTGCTGCCCCGCTCCCTTGAACAAACTCCCAAATCTTATTGCTAAAGAGCTTTAAAAGTTATAAATGCAGATGTCCTGTTCCGGTGCGTGGAAGGCAATAGATCAGGTTCAAGAGGAAACATTCCCATTTCCCCTGACACAGCCTGTTGCCTTTGCTGAGGAAATGGGAGGAAAGGTTTGGGGAGCAGACACTAACCAGGTGCCCTCTTCCTTCCAGATCAACTTCATCTTTCTGTTCAACATCGTCCGAATCCTCATGACAAAGCTCCGAGCTTCAACCACATCAGAGACAATCCAGTACAGGTAAGAGCGTGAGGGACCCTGCAGAAAGCAGACCTAGAAACTGTGTTAGTGTGATTAGGGGGGATAGGAACAGCCTCATCAGCCCAAGTATCAAGGGGATAGGAGCATGGAGAGACATCTAAGACCACCTCAAACACTTTTTGGAGACACGTGCCAGTTGCATCTGGAGTTGTTGAAAAATCCTGGCCGGTGAGAGCTTTGTGATGGAGAATGTGGATGGCTGGATCTGCCTTTGAAGGGAGCTGTTGGGAGCCGAGTCTCTTTGCAAAACCTTGTTCTGGTGGGACCTGATCAGCTCACCAGCCTTGGAGCTGCAAATCCTGGCACGGAGGTGAGAATTAAATCGCCGCTTGGCAGCAAAGCAAAGGGCAAGGAAGGAGTAATGAATCGATGCCACCCCAAACACCTCCTCGTGAAGCCCAAGGAGAAGACAATGCTCTCGGCAGCATGCGGCAGGAAGATTAACCCTTGCCTGCTGCAGAATATTTTGCAGACAACTTGGGAGATGCATGGTCAGAGCAGCTCTCCGAAGTACCTGGAACAGGAGATTGGTCTTTATCAATGCTTCTCTCTGGATAATTTTCTGGGCAGGAACCAGGGAATCTCGCTGTGTGCTGGGTCAAGAGAAGCAGGTTTGGGTTGGAGGGTGACTTTTTCAGCTGAGAATGGAAAAAGTCAGATGCTGTCATTGGGAAATGCCAGCTTTCCTCATCACGGAGTATTGAGCTGGGATGAACGATTCAGCTTAGGGTGAGCAAAGATGAAGGTTATTGAAATAGGCTGGCTGGCCTCAGTCAGCAAGTTTGAGAGACTTTTGGTTTTCCAGTATTTTCCTGATTTTGGCAGGGAAGGTTTTTCACCTTTGGGCAGAAGAACATTTTCATTTCCCAGAAACATTTTGTGGGACAGGAAAACTTGGAGAGTTTGGTAGATTATAAACTGTGCAGTCCTGCTTAAACCAGGCAAGGGACAGCCCCGGAGGACTCCTGCTCACCTTAGACAATGGCTTTTGGTAAAAAGCCAATGGATCCCCTGCTACTACGGCTGCTCCCCTGGGGAAGCTACACCAGTGCATGTGCTGTCCCGTGGTTTGCCAGCCTGAAGATGCTGATGTCCTCAGTTATTTCCAGCTCCTCCGTGCCATCTGCCACTTTGGTCAGTGGCTGTGGGTTTCCTCCAGGTCAGCGATGCAGCCCAGGTCCCAGGCCCCATCCCTGCCCAGAGCTGCCAGGGATGACTTTTCCCGTTTTCAGCTAATGTTGGAATCTGTCCATTAACAGGATTTTTAAGCAAAAAGTGTTGGCTTGGCATTGTTCTTGTCCCCTAATCCAAACAAATGAGATGCCAAGCCCCGATCCTTCCTCTTGTATCAGCACCATTACTTTTCACAAACCACTCTTGTAATCTCATCAAGAAAAGAGATCAAATTAATTAGCTGATACAGGTTTTTCATAAACCCATGTTGAAGGATGTGAATTATTTTACTGTCCTTAATTCCTTTTTAATCGAGCTTTAGATCAGCCAAGCGATCATTTCACGCCAGCTCAAGGTCAGGCCTCCACTATCCGCTGCCCTTTTCTGGATGGAGAAACCACAGAAGGTGCCCAATGCTCAAATCAGCCCAGTCACTTGGGGATCCCATCGGAAAACAGCCCAACTCTGCTCTGTCCTCCCCCAGTCACTGGTCTGCCCAGACCCAGCCAGACCAGTCCCAGCCATGCTGGTGCTGGGAGTGGGATGGGGAGAGTCCTCATGCCCAGGGCTGCACTGCAGCAGCTCTGATCCATGTTTTCTCCCCAGGAAAGCAGTCAAGGCCACGCTGGTGCTGCTGCCCTTGCTGGGAATCACCTACATGCTCTTCTTTGTCAACCCAGGGGAGGATGAGATCTCCAGGATAGTCTTCATCTACTTCAACTCCTTTCTGGAGTCCTTCCAGGTATGGTCCTCAGCATTAGCTTCCACCCCAGTCCCCCCACCAAGGAATGTGGAGGAGCCTGTCCTGGCTGATGCCTCACCCCGCTTCTGCCCCCTCCCAAAACCAGACATCCCCAAACCCCAGGGTTGCTCCAAAGCTCCTGAGCCTGGGGGTTCCTGCTGGCCGTAGCTCCACAGTGACTCTGCTGCTTGTCTCCTTCCAGGGTTTCTTCGTCTCTGTCTTCTACTGCTTCCTGAACAGCGAGGTAAGCACCGGGGACTGGGGGTGCTCGGGGGGGTCTACACCCTTCCTTGCAAGCAGATGCAAGCTCAGCCCAAGGCTCTGCCCCTGCACAGGGCTTGGAGGGTGCTGGCACCCAGTTCCCCAGCTGAAGGCATTTGCTGATCAGAGTCGGTGCTTTACCTCCAGGAATGGCTACGGTCGGTCTCCTCCTTTGGAGGAGGAAAATTCACCACCGAGAACACATGCTCTGGGGTGCACCCATGTCATTTGGTGCAGCAGAAGAGCCAAGGGTCCCCCCATCCCTGGGAAACCCTTCCCAGGGTGATCCCAATACACACGCACGTACCCGGCACACGGACGAGGGCACCTCCTGGGCTCTGACCCAAAACGCAGACAGCAGAAAGCAAAAGAGGTGAGAGTAGAGGCCGATCCTGGGGCCAATAATTTGGGCAGCTCTTTCCTCTGCCTCCTCCCAAATGCTCTTGCACCTTTCCTGGCTCAGGAGAGTTTGCTCCAGACAAATTTGCTTTGTTACCAAATCATATATAATTGATGCAGGAGGAAAAGGGACTGGACCAGGGCTAGCAGGTGACCCAGGAGCATATCACACCATGCCATTCATGGTCCTTCATCTCTCGATCCCAGCTGGGCTGGCTGGGGATTTCAGTGTTCACCCAACTGCACCGTCTCAGCCCCCTGCGCCCAGTGCCCATCTCCCAGAGCCATCCCACGCTGCAGTCGATGAAAAGGCACTTCTTCGCTATTTACCTGCCACAGAAAGCTGTTATAGGGCGAATTAATGTTGAAGAAATGCCACTAGCATGAACCAGACAAGCCATAAAACCTTCCTGACTGTTGCTCGCACCTCTCCCAGCCCCTTGCAGCATCCAATGCAGCATGTAAGGTGCTGGCTCTCCTGCAGAGCCCCTGCTCGGATTTATTTCTCCCTCTTGTTTCCATGTTGTGCTTAGAGGCACCGTCGGTCGGGTTCATCTCTCTTCACAGCTGCAAGGGCCGCGTTTCACCGGCACCGCATCAAACAAGGCGGGGTGCCCTGGGAGGTGACAGGGGCTCCCGGGACCCTCCCTGCCCCCGGGGAGCTGAGCAGGGTTTTGGTAGCATTTTTGGTTGGAAGACTGAGGATGAGGATGGCTGGTGCTTCTGAACAACTTCGGACAGCTGCGTGGTGACTAAATGTCCCCTCCTCTGTCTCACACCACCAGGTCCGATCAGCTGTACGGAAGCGGTGGCACCGATGGCAGGACAAGCACTCCATCCGTGCCCGCGTGGCTCGGGCCATGTCCATCCCCACCTCCCCGACCCGTGTCAGCTTCCACAGCATCAAGCAGTCCACGGCTGTCTGAGCCGGGAGCGAGCTGCCGTACGGGATGGGGGAGCCGGCGTCCCCGCTGCGTGGGACCCCTGACATGGCACAGCACAGGAGCCAGGTCCTGTCTGCACCCACCAGTCTCGCAGAGGGTGCGCAAACTCGCTGCAGCTACGGGAAACCCTACAGAAGCTCCTGTCCCACTTGCTGGGACAGACCTGGAGGATGGGACAGACCTGGAGGGTAGGACAGCCGAGATGCCACTTTGTCATCTCCCTGGCAGCAGTGGCAGAAGGAGCCGGAGGAGCCCAGAGAGGTTGCAGCAGCTTCCCTGCCTGCCTCTATCCTGGGCACGATGCCCCATGTCCCATCGCTGCCTCTCTCGAGTTTGTCACTGTTTTGAGGTGACAGGACACCAGGACATTGCTGGGACAGCTTATGGGGCTAATCCTTTGGAAAGCTGGGTCAGCCTTCCAGTGAGTGCATGCTGGATGATGGGCGGGGGCAAAACCCTCAGGGGGGGCCAAAGCCCTCTGGGTTGATGGGGGATGGATGGAGAGCCCTGGACTGATTGCAGACGTTGCTTTATGTGGCTGTGTTTTTGTACCACTGGAGTTATTTGAGCCCTTCCCCTGCCCCTTGCTAGGTCCCCAGGATGTCCCGTAACTGCTGTTTGGTCTGACCAGGTCATTTCTCATCTCGACACTGAGGCAGAGCAATGGGGTGGGAGAGGGGAGGGAACCATGCAGGGGGTGGGGATGGGTCCCAGGGGCTCTGAACAGCCACACGGAGGGGGGTTGGTCTGAAGGGAGGCATGAGATTTAGTTAATCCTGTGGTCCAGCCCAACCCAGATGGGTCTACAGGTCTTTGTGAAGCCCCTGGAGCTCAGGCTGACTCCGTGCCCCTGCTCGGGGGGTGGAAAGGTGAGGGAGCACTGCAGTGAAGCGGTGGCTGAGCTCTCCAAAGGCAGCTACCGTGGGGACATGCCATGGCTTTGCTTCCCTCCTCCCTGCCCTGCTTTCACCCATGCAGGCGGGCTCGGTGCCAAAGCTGCTCCTTGCTCTTACGCAGGGGATGGGGCCAAATCATTCCCGCGCTGGGGTTAAGTGCCTTGGAGGAGCAGCAGCCTCCCTCCCCGTGTTGGGGACCTCAGATCGTCTCCCCTGCAGCTGCCAAGTCCCTGATCTGCCCCCGACGCCCTGTTTCATGTGGTCACCGAAAGCAGCTGAGTGTAGAGGTCCATGCAAGGTGGAGGGTTTTGCCCTGACCTCCTCGGAGCCACATTTTCCCTGCCCCTGAGGTCTGGGGATGCTTGGGCAGGGGGAGGGTGCCAGAGGGGTTACGGGCCGAGTCTGCTCTCTGCATCCCAGGGATTTCGCCACTGGGGCCCTACAGGGTCTGGTATGAGTCCCTTCACACTTCTGTGCCTCAGTTTCCCCACTATGAAAAACAGAAAGTATTTCCTGCCCTGGGGAGATTTAAGCATCTTTGAAATTGTAGTACTCTGTGATTTCCTTAGGATATACCACCAGAAAGGAATAAAACCTTTCTTTTTTTCTCTAAAGGGAGGCATAGGTAAAAACCTCCAGGTTCTTTCTTTAAACATTTGAGAAGTTCAATATTTGAAGCAAATTCCTCCCATTTCCCTCCCGTTAAGATTTCCTACCTGCATGTCTACTGTGCAGGCAAGACCAGAAATACCCCATTGCCTCCAGTAATGTGCTGGGAGTAGCGACGGCTTCCAGTATGACGGAGTGACCACAGCGAGGACCATACCCTGCACATGGGGCAGGTTTTGGTCCTCGTACAAGCTCGTCCATCACCAATAGTTCCAGAAACCACCCCTTATCCAATATATGGGTGAGAAAAAGACCCCCAGACTTACACAATGGGAAAACTGGCAGCTCCCAGCTTTACAGACACTTTCTGCTGATGCTGTAATGGAGTAGACGTGTGTGTCCCCACCGTGGGTCAGTTTGATTTCTCCGCCAGGTGCTCTGGCAGGAGCTAATAAAGACCTGCTGGCTATGGAGAAAGGGAAATGCCCCAGGGATGTTTTTTCATCGTGCATACAAGTGATGTTACCAAAAAGTGATGCCGCTACATGTTCAATTTGGATTTTTCTAAGTGGAGTCATTTTTGGTGGAAAAGAAGCTGGAAATTGAAAAACCAAAGAAAGAAACCCAAACAGAAGCATCTGTGTTCACATCACTGTTTTTTCCTTCTCCTCTTGGTGGTCTGCTCCGACTGACATGACTTTGCTTTCCGTAGCTGGAGAAGTGTGTGTATTCTCAGCCTCGTTTGATTAAAATTACTTCAATTCCTCTCACAAGCACTTTTGGGGCACATTTATCTTTTGGAAAAGAAAACCCCAGCATGGCCCCTCCCCACTTGCCGCGGGAGCATCCTCATGCTGCAGTGGGCTCAGCATCCCACTGGCCACAGAGGCACCCGGGGCAGCTGGTGGCTTTTTTGTCTCCTCTCTACCCCAAGTCCACATGCCCATAGCACAGAGGTGGGATGCAGGCTCTCTGTGAAGGGATCAACACCATCTCATCTAAGGGGGGTGAGGAGCACCCCGTGTGGGTCTCCCACACAAGTATCATCAGGACTGGAGAAACTCCTCCAAGTTTTCCGTGATGCTCCCTCTCACCAGCTGAGCTAAGACAGAATAAAAATGTAATGTGCTTCACAGCAGGAGGGAGAGACAATTAAACTCGAATTTCATTTCATACATCAATGTTTACGAGTGAAATTCAGACACAAACATCTCTTTCTGGTCAAGCTCTTCCGTTGCAGAATTAATTTGTTCATCACACAGAGCCTTGGAGAGCGCTGTAATTTGGTAAGAACCATGCACATAAATAATAATTACAGCTTCCTGCTCATTGTATTTAAAGTTATCAAGTAATTCTGAGCTAAATGACCTGCCAATCCTGTGCTCTTGATGAGGTTGTAGCCTCTTGAGATAATCCTGCATTAACCCTTGATGTTATCCTGGCACCTCTTGGGGCTGGGAGAGGCAAAGTGGGACCCTGAGGATGGGACCTGGTGGTGCTCTGGGACATCCCAGGCTGGGAGGGAGGCAGACTCACCGGAGCCTTTCCAGCACACAGAGATGGAATTTAATTTAGCTTCTTCATTTGATTAACACGTGAAACCTATCACGGAGGTTGCCTCCAGCACTGGAGTCGCTCCCCAGCCTCAGCCCTACCACCCGGGGTAGCTCAGGGGTCCTGACTGCCCTGCGCTACATCCCCAGCACACCGAGAGCCGGCAAAGGAGAAAACCTGCCATCCAGAGCCTGAATGGAGGGAGGGAAAGGAAAGCTCACGATCCTGACCCTCCGCAAAGGACCTGAGCTTTCATCCCACCTTTCAGCCAGGCTGCCCTGGGCAAACAACCCCATTGCCAGAGCCAGGACCTCCCAATTCCCGCTCCACCGCCATGGGCATGATGCACCATCCGTCAGCTGGAGGGTTTATAGCTTGTATTTAAAGCCAAGCTGGGACTATCATTCCCCTTCCTCCATCCTGGCTCAGACACGGCATTTCTGTCTGGTTGTCCACAGCTTTGGGCCACTCCTGGATGTTTAACCCTCTCTGTACCTTCCCAGGCTGGCAACGATCCTGGAAGGGGTGGGAGGTGGGGAGGGAGAGGACATCTCATGGCTCACTTGTGGCTTTCAGTGCCGTCCGCCCCAAGATGCCTCTCGCCTGTGATGTGTCATCCTCCCAGCGCTGCCAAACCCCCAAATAAATATTTCATCCTTTAACTGCGGTGCCCTCTCGCTCGCTGCTCTCCCCCCAGCGCGAGCCTCCTGCTGACATTTGTCACTGCAGTCACAGTTAAATGGCTTTCAAAAGCGCATGGCAGCGAGAGACAGGCAGCTCTCTGCCACCCTCATGAAATTTTCAAAGGGCTGTATTTTTCCAGTTTGGAGGAAATCTAAAGATCAGAGACGCAAGTGCGGCTCCCCCTGATCCTGTCGGAGAGCCTGTCTGTTCAGCCCTGGAGGAAAGGGTTTTCTGGCCATTCCTCGAGGAGCCCCAGGGCCGTGCCGAAGGCAGCAGAGGTGTGTGCGTCACACGAGGTGCTGGAGATGGGCGTCTGCAAGGAGCCGTGATGGGTAAGTCCCACAACCAAGAGTCACTCATGCTTGTGGCTCTGGATCTATCCATGGTGGTCACCCACACCCGCGTCCATCCTCTCGGCTGGAGCCCTCAGCAATGCTTCCATGGGGATGTGTGCCAAGGGTTGTTCAAGTTTTCCAGGTCTGTTTGGAAATAGCTCGGTCCCTTGCAGTCCCCAATAGCATCGCAGCACCAGCAATGCCCCTGCAAGCACCATGGCTGGGCTCCCCCACCCTGCCCTCCTCCCTGCCGGGCAAAAGTTCCCATGGGAAACTATTGCTTTTAGGCTGCTCAAATCTGCTGCTGAGCCTCCTGCTAGTAGGGGAAACTGAGGCATGGATTTGCACTATGTTGCATAAGGAGATTCTGGGCTCTGTCTGCTGAGCACCATCCTGCCGGACACCTCTGCTGCAGAGCATCCTCCAGCCCCAGTCATCCAGGTCTGAGACTTGCTTCAGGAGACATCAGTGTGATGGGGGCCTCGGGACCCTCCTCAGCAGCCCACAGCCTCCTTCTGCCCCAGAGAAAACAGCCCCAGCGGGACAAACCCCATCCTGACCCGACCAGCGATCCCTCAAACACAATTGCTTTCTGCTCCGACCGCAGCATCCATTTCCAGCCACCTTGCTGATTTTGAGCTGCCCTTCCTGGCTCTCACAGCAGGAGACCCTAATTTTGGGTGCAGCCGGGGAAGGGTCACAACTTTCCTCGCTCAGCGCTGTACCCACGGGGACCAATGCCCAGTGGGGTCCCCCAGCAGTGCCGGTGGCAAGTGCTTGAGATCCAGAGGTCCATCTCCTCTCGCGGTCCCTGGCTGCTTCATTTGCTGCCTCCCCATTTTTGCACTGAAGCAAATCACAAACGACTGGTCCTCACCTGCTCTTTCCAGCACATGGTGTCGGTGACACGGCCATCGCGGCTCAGCT